AGGTCAGATGGCAGTTTTATCAGAAGAATTTGAACAAGAAGCCACGTGTCTCAGTTCCTTTATTATAGTAGATACGCTCTCGTCCTCAAGGAATTATGCTCTGACAGCAAGAATGATTTGTGAAGGAAAGGGAAGAGGATTAATAATAGCATGAACAAAGGAATAAATATCGCTGCCAGAGAGGTAAACCTTAGAAGCTTGTATGTTTAGAAAGCAGAGTGCTCTGGGTAACATGCCTCCTTTTTTAGTGGGAAGGTGCGATTTTGTTTAAGAAAGGAGATGACTTGGCTAATGAAACTGAAGAACACGTTCGGTGCTCAAGGGAGAAAGAGAGGAAGGCTCAGGTATGGGATGTGATCAGCAGACTTAGGGAACATTTGCCTGTGAGATTAAGAGAGAAGACAAGCTCTAAGGGGAGAGGGGAAGCCAAGATGGTTTGAACCATCCATGAATGTCAGAAACAAAAGAAATGGATGGATCCTAGACTTGTAAAGCCCAAAGGGGTCTGACATTTCTAAAGTTTTTATTTATCACCGACTTTAGCATGTTCTCAGGATTATTCTACTTACTTACGATTATTCATACAATTTTCATAACAATTCTATGAAATAGGCACTAATGTTGATTTCCTAATAGCTAAGGAAAAAGACACAGAGAAGTTAAATAACTTGTCCCGGGCCATTTGTTTATTTTTAAGCAGGATTTGTACCCACCCAAACAGTCTGACTCTAGAATCTTGTTCTTAAACACTCTGCCATGCTGCTCCCTGGCAACCAAAGCCCTGGTGTTTGCATAATACTGAGGGAACCAGTGTAGGGTGATGCCCTTTAAAGAGGCTAGAAGCCTGGCATTGTTACTCACCAGTGCCTGCACTCTTGGCTGACCCAGGGACACTTAATATTTAAGTCCCAGTCAGGTTTCAGGAGGCAGACTCTGCCCAGTCAGTGTGTACATGGACCAGTCTAATAAGCTTCGTCATCACTGGGTGACGTTACATTGGTTCTGGTGGCCATCCTAAGAAAGTACTCTGCTGATTTGTTTTCATGTGAAGCTGTAAAACAACCCTGATAGGGATGTGTTTGGTATCTTCATTCATTCATTCACTGCCCAAGTACTTCTTGAGAGCTCTGTTCTAGATGTTGGGGGGATGCCAGTGAAGAGAGCAGTTCCTTCTCTACAGAATCTCCACAGTTTTCCTTTCTTAGGAGCCTCTTCTCTTCAGCATATAAACTACCATTATTGCTCCCAACTTCCAGAACAAAAAGAAAAATCAAGAAAAAGTTGTCTTGACCCTACTTTCCTTTCCAGCTACTGGCCATGTCTCTTTTCCCATTTGCAGCGTATTTAGAAAGTAGCCTATTCTCGTATTGGTCTTCACTTTCTCTCCTCCTACTGTCTTCTAAATACACACCAAGCTGACTTGCTCCACCAGATCGCACCAGCTCTGGGCTTGAATCACATTCCCCTGCCTTCTAACCGCTCCACTTAGATGTCTGTCCACTTTGGCTTCACCCTTGACCCCACTTTTGCTCTCACAGTCTACCATCTATTCCATCAGCACATCCTACTACTGACTTTAGCCTTTAAGTCTCTCCAAAACCCAGCCGCTTTCTCTCGCTTTCACTATCACAGCCCTAATCTACATCACTATCATCTCTCTTTCCCAGCTGGTCTTCCTACTTCCTTCCCCAACCCCCATACCACCCACTGCCTACTATCAACATGGCAACAAAACAGTTCTTATGGCAGTTCTATTCCCAGTTTTTTAAGAAATCTCCACACTGTTCTCCATAGCGGCTGTACTAATTTGCATTCCACCAACAGTGTAAGAGGGTTCCCTTCTCTCCACACCCTCTCCAGCATTTATTGCTTGTAGACTTTTGGATAGCAGCCATCCTGACTGGCGTGTAATGGTACCTCATTGTGGTTTTAATTTGCATTTCTCTGGTAATGAGTGATGTTGAGCATCTTTTCATGTGTTTGTTAGCCATCTGTATGTCTTCTTTGGAGAAATGTCTGTTTAGTTCTTTGGCCCATTTTTTGATTGGGTCATTTATTTTTCTGGAATTAAGCTTCAGGAGTTGCTTGTATATTTTTGAGATTAATCCTTTGTCTGTTGCTTCATTTGCTATTATTTTCTCCCAATCTGAGGGCTGTCTTTTCACCTTGCTTATAGTTTCCTTTGTTGTGCAAAAGCATACCACTTCTGGGCATACACACTGAGGAAACCAGATCTGAAAGAGACACATGCACCCCAATGTTCATCACAGCACTGTTTATAATAGCCAGGACATGGTAGCAACCTAGATGCCCATCAGCAGACAAATGGTTAAGGAAGCTGTGGTATATATACACCATGGAATATTACTCAGCCGTTAAAAAGAATTCATTTGAATCAGTTCTAATGAGATGGATGAAACTGGAGCCCATTATACAGAGTGAAGTAAGCCAGAAAGATAAAAAACATTACAGCATACTAACACATATGTATGGAATTTAGAAAGATGGTAATGATAACCCTATATGCAAAACAGAAAAAGAGACACATGTACAGAACAGACTTTTGGACTCTGTGGGAGAAGGCGAGGGTGGGATGTTCAGAGAGAACAGCATGTATGTTATCTATAGTGAAACAGATCACCAGCCCAGGTTGGATCCATGAGACAAGTGCTCGGGCCTGGTGCACTGGGAAGACCCAGAGGAATCGGGTGGAGAGGGAAGTGGGAAGGGGGATCGGGATGGGGAATACATGTAACTCCATGGCTGATTCATGTCAATGTATGATAAAACCCACTGCAATGATGTAAAGTAATTAGCCTCCAACTAATAAAAAGAAATGAAAAAAAAAAAAAAACCAGTTCTTATAAGACGCCAGTCAGAGTATCTCCTCTGCAGAATACGTTATTAAAAAATATTATAATCCCACATACAACAGTATAAATGAATCTCATAACACAACGCTGGATGAAAAAAGCCACAAACACAGAGAGTTTATACTGTACGGTTACCTTCATTTAAAACATAAAAAAATAGGTGAACAGTCTATACAGTAAGCGGTCAGGATGGTGACTGAAGGGGTAGGCAGCTGACTGTGAATGAAGGAGAACGCCACGAGGACCATTTCTATTTATCTGGATTCTAGTGCTTCGCTGGTTAAAATCTCCCAGCTGTATACTTACGATGTACCCCTTTCTGTAGTTTGCACTTCCATAAAAAGTTTTACAAAATTGTTATTTCTTACATAGAAAATCATTCGTTTCTAGACTTAAGAGATAGGAATTTATCGGCCTTTATAGCCATTATAGTATAAGGCCTCCTCAGGCAAAAGTCTTATCAACTCTCTTTTATTCACCAAATATTTATTGAGCTCTGAATCTGGCATTTGGGATACAGCGATGAACATTAAAGACAAAAACTGCTTACGCTTCTGAGGGATGATAATCAGAATAAAGTACAGAACATATCACCAGGCGCCCAGAGAGGGCAGAAGCAGGAGAGGCAGGCGGAGAACGCTGGAGGGGATGGGGTGAGGGCTCAGGGCGCAGTCTGATGGGCCAGCCAGGAACGGCCTCGTTGAGAAGGTGACGTTTGGGCCAACACCGGGAAGGACTGGGGGGAAGGAGCCCCACGTGTATCCGGAAGAAGGGTCCGGAGGGTCCAGCCTGAGGCAGAAACGGGCTGCCTGTGGAAGAGCCGTGCGAAACTAGAGGGACTAGGGGAGTCCGAACAAGGACAGAGCAGCCAGGCTAGGGTCAGGGAGATGCCTGTGGCCAGTCACCATGGACCTAAAGGCTCAGGAGTTTGATTCTGCACGACGCCTTGGCAAACGGGGAGTAAAGTTTTGCCCGACCTGGTTTGGCTTAGGTGTCAGCTGCTTGTAGTGGGAGGCTGTTCATTCTCATCGCTGTAAACATACTCTCTTTATTATCCATGCTACTATTGATGAATGGATACCAGCTCAGGGCTCGCATCGAGTGCTACTGTGAACTCGTGTTGCATGTCTTTTGGTAAACTTCTGTAGCTAAAGACACCAATTTTAAATAAATCTAACAAAATATATCAATTCTTCTTACTTGAATAACTTATATAGTAACATAGCATTTTAGTTCCATCAAAGGCAGCTTATCAGTCACTAGTACGGTGCATGTTAGAAGTCAGTTCCTAAGGACATATGAGGGTAAAGCAGGAACATATGAAAGGCAGAGAATACAGAGATAGGTACAATGGATTGTGTGCCCCCAAGGACCCTAGATTCTCTTTGGCATTAAGACCTAAGCACATGAAACTACAACTAGCAAAGACACGTAAAGGAAATGCTAAATGATATCCTGGGCAAGCTGCCCTGTAACCATGCTGAAGCGGGCAAGGTCACTTTGGTTGTGTTGATAGAAGATTTCAGAAAGAAGCTGGGGATTCCATGGAGCCTGAAAGCTGACGTCAGACTTGGAAAAGCAGAGAGAGAGAGACTTTGTGGACATGATCTGGGCTTGGGAAATGGCAAGAGTGCCCGTCTATATCAGAGGGGCCTGTGGATGGTTCATCTGAGTAAGGATAGGGCTTCGGGTTCATTTTAAAACCTAGTAGATATATAGATGGATCTTTTCTCAAATAAGTAAATAGCTGCGTTCTGATCTGAGAATGGGCTTCCCTGGTGACTCAGCGGTAAAGAACCTGCCTGTCGATGTAGGAGAGCTACAGGAGATGGGGCTTCGATCCCTGAGCTGGGAAGATCCTCCAAGAAGGAAATGGCAACCCACTGCAGTATTCTTGCCTGGAGAACCCCATGGACAAAGGAGCCTGACAGGCTATATATATATAGTCCATAGGGTCACAAAGAGGTAGCCACAGCTGAGCAACTAGACAATGACAACCTGGGACTATTTATATACTCCACATTTCTGAATCACCTTGATATGTTAATGCCACATTTTGATATATTAATGCCATATAACCTCAAAGTCCATAAGCTCTAAATGACTTACATATGTATGTATTTTTAGACTGGCAAAGAAAACTCATCCAGTGTGACTGTGGCAGGGCCTGAGACGGAAAATAAGGCAGGCCAAGCCCTGGAGAACAGCTCACTCATGGCCGAGCTCCTGAGCGACGTACCCTTCACCTTGGCCCCACACGTGCTGGCCGTGCAGGGCACCATCAGCGACCTTCCTGACCACTTACTCTCCTATGACGTCAGCGAAAACTTATCAAGGTTTTGGTATGATTTCACTCTGGAAAACTCAGTACTCTATGGTTCATAATCTTTATGTCTGTGTGCACCTCAACAAACTTTGAAACAAAAGTTTGCCGATTTTATTTAACTTGTCTGACGTTTTATGTAAAGGCCCTTAAAGGTCCTCAGAAAGCAAGGATCATGAAGCAGATGATAATATATTCATTGCTCTATTTTTTTAGAATAAAGCATATTTGTATAAAAATTAAACCTAAGATCTACTTTCCTTTTCCCCTAGTAATAAATACAAAGATTAATTTATCAAGGTTTTGTGAAAGATTTTGTCAACCAGTCTCTCAAAATATAGCACCTCACATGTATCTTAGAAAAGCTGTGAAAAAGAACTGTGGCATTTTTTTTAGCACAACTCTGAAATCTCTACTTAGAGTATGACTTCTCTGGTTTGGAGGAAAACTTAATGTTATCCCCTTTCTCCTTCCACTGTGTTTATGAATGAATACAAACCCCCCCCCCCCCAAAAAAAGTTGCTGGTTAGCTTCATTTCTTCAGTCTTAACTTAGACATTGATGTGGAAATTTACAGCTTTCCCTAGAAAGCAATAGTAGTTTGCTGAGACAAGAATGCTGTAGGAAAAATGCTCTGGATACTGTCTCTTTTGGATGACAGATTTTCCTTAAGCCCATTGCAGTCTTCTCCACCTTGATGGAGACCCAGGTTCCTGTCTTTATTTTTTTGCCACTTCATGGTTTGCTCTCTCACCAGCTTTACAAGAACGTCCCCTGCTTCTGCCTCAGTTGGCGTTTTCTCTCCTTACCTCCTGTATTTCCGGTTTATGAAGAGACCCGCATTTCCTTCCAACCTCTCTGCCTCCCAGAGAAAAGAAGCTTGTGATGATATGTATTATTGCTGATAAAGCCCTTATTTAGACATTTGTTGGCCACAATACAGATTGAAATGTTTTACTGCGAAAAACTACAGCTGATTCGTTTCCAACTAGAGTGCAGGCAAAACACCTAGATAGGGCTTTTAGTTTGTGAATATCCATTGTCTATTCTGACTGAAATAGAAAACTGCCATTGGTTCATAAACTATAAAGGGAAGAGATGCAATAGAGTATTTTTTATGCCATGGAAAATTTAAATCACATTTGTTCTGATTAGTGGCAATGCAATTTATTGATTCTGTGCCAAATCTTAAATATATTTTTCATGAAGATAGAGTGCCATAGCAAAACTAAACACTGTGCATAAAAGTACATGAATTAAGTTTTAATGTGGCATGCATGTTTAATAAATGTGGCATGATCTTGATAAACTGTTAACATGATTTGAGTTAAATGTACATTTATATTGACAAAAATATGCTTTATTTACAAATAATGGTACCATATGAGGTGAATGATTAAATCAGATCTTTACATAGTTTTCATAAAACATCAGTCTAGGAAATCTAATTTATTACTAAGAAATGTGAACATTTTATAGCAGTTTTTGTGAAACCATTTTTTTCAATATTCATGTAACCTTAACACCAAATATAAGCATGTCATCAGTTTGTCTAATATGTGTTAAATTTTGTCTGAAGTACTTATACATTTCATTTATATGTATGTCTACCATGTTTAATTATGCTTATAAGTATTTTGTCTATAAAAATAAACATGAATTTTAAAAAACTGCTATTTTTTACTATTTTCAGATCCAGAAATAATGGCTTTCTTTGTGTTATTCATATCTGAGTGCAAGTTACTGATTCTTTGAGAGGCCAAGATTTAAGTGCATAGTTTTTGTAGAGCAGAGAAAAATGAAATTTCCTCTGATATACAGGTAAAATGACTAGTCCTAGATCCTTAAGACTACAGAGATCTGGGAGAAATCACATGAACATCTCAAGGTTAGATCTCCATCATCACAAAATTCAGTAAAGGCCATGTTACTGTCCTGTTTTTAACAAAATATTGTAAAAATGGCCATTTTAATTTTCTTACTCTATGTATAAATCAATTGTTACTCTTCTAAACTGGAAAAACATTAGAAATCAACTATCCAACTTCATTTTACCCAAGAGAAACTTGAAGCCTAGAAAGGTGAAGTGATTTAAGTCACCTCATTAGTGATAAATATTTATTTGAATAGTGTTAATAATTTTGATATGAATTATAACAAAGTTTGTGTGCTCTGGTATAGTTGAGGCAGCCAGAGGTTGTCATGACTTACACTTAAACGAGCTGTGAGGTTTGGAGTTAGTCCCCTGATTTCTAGAGTCCTTAGTCCCTTCTCCTATTAAATAATAATTGTATGACATTTACAGGGTTGTGTTAGGGTTTTAGATGGTATATGTCAAATGCCTAACAACATAAAGCCTGAACACAACATAGGTGTTCCGGAAACAGAGCTCTTATAACTCTTCTTATTACTAACCACACACAAACAGCAGTCTGATAAAATGCAAAATACATACTAACTGAACTGCTTAAAGTGTAATATAAAAATAGCTACCTACATTTATTGTAGAGCCTTCTCACCTCATTAATTTTTTTTCTATTAAATACCTCACTAAAGAAAACATTGCTAAAATAGGTTGGTTGACTCTTCTATAATTCCTTAGTTAAGAATTCCACAGGGAACATTTTTTTTTTTTCTCATCTCCTTATCAAGCATCATGGTCCCTTTCAATATAAGTAATCAGAAAACACTGTTGATATTGAATGTACAAGCAATTTACTGAATTTTTAACCCTAAAATATATTCAGGAAGTTGCATATTTCTTTTTCAGCTTCTTTACTGACATTTGCATTCTTTAGAGAAGTGATTCTAACCAATTTATTAATGTGGTTAATTAAATTCTGATTAAACTTTTAAAATTGTACCATTAAATGTTAATGAGAGCATTTTTTGTTACCATTTCTAGAAACACAAATAGTTAAGTAAACATTCGTTGATACTACTTTTTTTCTCTTTATCAAAGTAAAATTATAAATTGAAAACATTATAAATGGAAAACTAATTCAAAAAGATACATGTACCCCAATGTTCATAGCAGCACTATTTACAATAGCCAAAACATGGAAGCAAGCTAAATGTCCATCAACAGAGGAATAGATAAGGAAGTTGTGTGTGTGTGCATCTGGGTGTGTGGGTATGTAATGGTATATTACTCGGCTATTTCAAAAAGAATGAAATAATAATGAATATAATGAAATAATAATACTGCCATTTGCAGTACTCTGGATGGACCTAGAGATTATCATATTAAGTGAAGACAGAGAAAAACAAATATATGATATCACTTACATGTAGAATCTAAAGGGAAATGGTACATATCAACTTACCTACAAAACAGAAATAGAGTTACAGACTCTGTTACAAATTCACAGTTACCAGGAGGGAAGGGGAGAGAGATAAGTGGGAGACTGGGATCAACATTCACACACTACTATGTATAAAACAGGTAATAAGGACCTACTGTAAAGCACAGGGAACTCCTCAATATTCTGTAATCTAAATGGGAAAAGAATTTGAAAATGAAGAGATACATGTATAACTGAATCACTTTGCTATATACCTGAAACTAACACAACATTGTTAATCAACTGTTCTCCAATATGAAATGAAAATTTAAAAATACTACATTGCTAAAAAAAATGATAACCAACAAAAACAAAAAACACTCCCTCATAACATCTTATAATAGTAACTATTCTGCTGATGCAATTTTAGCCTTGCAAAGTCAGGAGAAAAGAATAGAAAGAAAACAGAATGAAAGAAATAGCTTCTAAAACTCCTAGAGACCTGATTTATTTTCATTCTAAAGTACAGAATGGAGTAGCAAAGAGATAATCTCATCCATGTTTTAAAACTGGCATAAGGAGCCTACCCTCTTACCTCTCATGATAACAACTGACAAATGAACACTGTAGTCTAACAATATGTTACCTTCAGAGGTTAATACATTGTCTTAATAATGTCATTAATAACATTCACATGCAGTGTATTGGATACATGGTTGAATGATGTTACACCTTTTAAAGTTGCTGAGAAATATGGGTTTGTGGATATTATCTTTTGAGCATTGGTGTCATGTTACTAAGGGCATGACCTAAATATTACTGGAAAACCTAAAACTCTCAGAATAGGTTTGACGCCATTTATACATTGGTCTGAAACACAGAAGATCCTTATGTGTCGGGAAGATGACTCTTGATACCATATAGTTCAGTGGATAGGTGGGGTGAAAAAGAGAAAAAGGAAGATGTAATGATTGGTGCATTGGAACTCTGCTACAGTCAATGTAGTCATATGTTAATCATCATTTTTAAAGAAATGTTTTATTTACAGATTCACTAAAAAGCTACACAGATAGTGCAGAATTCTTATATCCCTCTTACCCAGGTTTCACTCTTTTGAACATCTTACATTACTATGATACATTTGCTATAACTAAATTAAGAGATCTTACTATTCACTCAAGTCCACACTCTACTCAGACTTGTTTTCTTCTATGTTTTTTTGCCCTTCCAGCATTCTGTCCCGTGTAACCCACTACATTCAGTGATCATGTCTCCTTAAGCCTCCTTTGGGCTGTGACAGCTTCTCAGATATTTCTTGTTTACAGTGGCCATGGCAGTTTTGTGGCCAGGTGTTTTGTAGAATGTGCCTCAATTGGGATTTAATCTACTATTTTCAAATGGTGAGACTATGGTTATGAGCTTTGGGAGGCAGACTGCAAAGGTGGAGTGCCCTTTGATGAGATCATGTCATATCAAGGATACATACTATCCACATGACAGTCTGATGTTAACCATTATCTGGCCAAGGCTGTGTCTGCCAGCTGTCACCACTGTAAACTAACTCGGTCCCTATGCTTCTCACACTCTGCTCTTCGGAGTTAAATCACAAAGCACAGCCCACACTCACGGGATGGGGAAGCAAGCTTCACCTCCTTGTGGGGTGAGTAACCACATAGCTTGTTTGGATTTCTTCCTTATGAGAGAAATGTCTCTTCTCTCCTATTTATTTCTCCATCACTTTGTTTTTTATGTTGGAAGTCATGAGTATTCAATTCCTTTTCCCCCCAAATACAAATCAGTGGTGACCAAGAGACATGTTTACATTTTTATAAAAGTTAATAAAGATAAGTTGGAACACTTTTCATGGTGCTGATGAATACTATTTGACATTGAGTAAGATAATATATTCTATAATGTCCCCAGACTTCATCTTCCTGTAAATATCAGATGTGTTTCTCCTTAACTTGCCATGACTCCGTGTTCACCCTGGACATTCCCTGAAGCCTCTAAGTGTTGGCTTGTGAGTGGAGCCCTCTAAGATACTTGGCTTTTCCCCACCTCATCCCCATGACGATTGCATCTTACACATAATGACCTTCTTCAGCAAGTGATGTGGAGGCAAGGTTATAGTGTAACCATTTTC